TGTGGTTTTGGTTACAGAAGCATTAATCTCCGCCTATTGTAGTCTAACAGCATGTGAACACGCAAATAACTTTTGTTTTGTTTGTTTGTTTGTTTGTTATTTAATGTCGCACTCAGCAATATTACAGCTATATGATGGCGGTCTGTAAATAATTGAGTCTGGACCAGACAATCTAGTGATTGACATCATGAGCATCTGTCCACGCAATTGGGATCGATGACATGCATCATCCAAGTCAGCGAGCCTGACCATCCAATCCTGTTAGTCGCCTCTTGCGACAAGCATAGTCACCTTTTACAGAAAGCATGGGTTGCTAAAGACCTATTCTATCCCAGATCTTCACAGGTCAGCAAATAACTAATTTAATATCAAATGCCATATTTTCAAATATTACTATAACAAGGCTGAGTGTAAATTGTCTGGACAGAAACAAAACTGCTTGATACATTGGCATTGTTCCTCTTCATGGGGTACAATGACACTCAATCACCCAAAGGGCTCACAGGACCAATCCCCTCTCAAGTCAAACCATACCTTAATGTGTCAATATGAGGACTAAAAATAAAAACTAGCCCAGCTAAAGATATATATCAATATAAACACTAAACTCTAGCTCAGCTAAAGATATATAATCAATATAAACACTAAACTCTAGCCCAGCTAAAGATATATATCAATATAAACACTAAACTCTAGCCCAGCTAAAGATATATAATCAATATAAACACTAAACTCTAGCCCAGCTAAAGATATATATCAATATAAACACTAAACTCTAGACCAGCTAAAGATATATATCAATATAAACACTAAACTCTAACCCAGCTAAAGATATATAATCAATATTAACACTAAATTCTAGCCCAGCTAAAGATATATATCAATATAAACACTAAATTCTAGCCAAGCTAAAGATATATATATATCAATATCAACACTAAACTCTAGACCAGCTAAACACATATCAAAACTCACATCTAGCCCAGCTAAAGATATCTATCAACACTAACATCTAGTCCAGCTTATCATGTATATTGACACTAAAGTCTATCCCAGCTAAAGATATCTATCAACACCAAAACCTGGCTCAGCCAAGGATCTCCCTTATCATCAAACAGTTATACAAATTTAAGGTGTCATGGGTCCTTGTGGTTAGTTGCAATAGTAGTCACATCTCGGGATGGCCTGACAGCTCTTCTTGAACATGAGAGTGATGAGAAGGCCTGTAGACTTTCACTCAAACTATGTCAGCCATCAACTATGACAGACAACCTGTCAAAGGACATTTTGAAAAGAAACACCTGTATTTTCATGAACACAAAGGCATCTGATGTGCTGCATCAGTCTCAGCCAGTAGACTGTTACGCTTAATTCTAATTGTGGCCATAAACTCATTTCTACCAGCATGGAGTCAAAAGACAAATAAATTCACTCACCTGACAGCACCTAGTTATCCGGCCTACAACGCTAATCCTCAGGTAACAGTACTGAATGCTTTACCCAGGCAATTGTAAAACACAAGAAATGCAATACCGACATCAATATTGATGAGACACCTTTCTATCACCATGGTAACAGCAACAACACTAATGAAACCATCTTCAACCAAATGGAAAGTTGATAGCACAAGAATGCCACTGACAACCATGATCAATATTATATACATAATATCCCTACCCTCGTGTATCCAGGTGTGTTGTGTATAAGTCATATATACACACGTGCAGGAACTCTACACTGTGCTGATAATGCCATGTATTGATGAAGCTGGAAGCTCAAGAACAGAGTACCTGTTAATGATATTTGATTTTCAAGCGCCTTTATGTTTTTCCATGCTCACGAATAAGCTAATGAGGATGCACTCATTAAATCTTAATAGAAATTCTAAAGAGAGTACTTGAAGTTCTTCAATGGATGACAGGGGAGTACTTGGTCTTTGTCATTACCATAATATTCCAAATTAAAGAGGGGGGACGGGTGGCCAGGTCGTCTAAGGCGCCGCAATTCGCTGTGCAGAGTTCGCCCCCATTATGTTTCTAGGTTTGTTAGCACCATAGTCGTGCTCATGGGTTTCACCGAAGTGGTAAATGTCTATGACCTGCATCACTTGGGGCTTTCCTCCAACATTAAGCTGACACGTTGTGATATGACTGGAATACTGTTAAAAACGGCGTTAACCCAACTCACTCACTCACTCCAAATTAAAGATTTAGGGGCCCTAGGGCATAGGGACAATGCACGAAATCAACACCGTAAAGCATGTGCAAAGTGCTTCGTTATTACCTGGGTCATTGGATCAGTGTGCACCCTATTTTCATTCTCAGCTCCCTGAGAAGGACACAACCCAAGCTTCCTAAAAGGAGTTAAGTGAACAGTTACATTCTACCGGGTACCCATTCACTGCTGGGTGAACAGAAGCATATTTGGAACAAAGTCACTTGCCTAAGGAGACACCACATGTTCCATGTATGTGCTTCAGTGCAAGATTGGGCCAAAGCCTAAGAAACTGCTAAGAATTTATACTGATGGAAATGAAAAGGAACACTTAGTTTAAGACCCAGTAAAAAGATATGCTATCATGGGTTCCCAGCCTTGTCTACAAAATACACGTTGGAAACAATGCACACAAACACATCTCAACATTTGATTCTGACGTGGTGAACTTGTATGCGCGCTATTTCAAATGTACTGATGGTAAAGCTTATTTCCCTATATTTTTCATTGTTCCCTTATTTGTTTCCATCAGTACCGCTTTTACTAAACATATTTAAAATAATAATAACCCTAAACAAAGCAGCTGATCGCTATTGCCAGGTATTATTTTTTACATGGAACCAGTCTGACCAGTCACCGTCAAGGCTCCCGTGCACGTGATCGCGTGATCGCGAGAATTACGTGTTCACATAGAATCGTCCAACAAAAACAAATATGACTTTTAATGAATCAAAGTATGGCATTTATGATATATGTATCCATTCTCTGTCAACTAAAGTTCGTTTCAAGGCGTCAAATAGCGGAAATCTGACCGTGGTTGCTGTTAATAACGGTGAGTTGTGCGATCGCTTCACACACGATTTCGCCGAAATTAATTAAAACAATATCAAAAGGAATTTTGAATAAAATTAATGAAATAAGTTACAAACATAAGTCCAGATATACAAAGAACACTTTTTATAGCCAGACAGTGTAATTACATGAATAATTTGCGAACTTCGGTATGGATTTGTTGACATGGTATTTCCGGTGTTACGTGCTCACGGTAATGTCTTTCCATGGGAGAAAAAACATCAAAACTCATTAATTCGTGTATAATGCGCACCCCCTTCTACACAGCTGTGTTTTGGGGAAAAAAAGTGTGCATTATACTCAAGAAAATACAGTATATATATCTAGGATCCTTCAATTTGAACAGATAAGTTCAGTATCTCAGGCCACCTTTACAGGTCTGACTGAGGCCACATCCCTGAGGCCACATCCCTGAGGCCCAAGTCTAAATTAATATTTCTGTCTTGGTCTGCTAACATAAATCCAAACACCAAAATGGACATTGTAAGTTGTAGCAGTATCACGAGGGGTACATGTGGTTTTATGCGTCCAGCGTTAGGTTTTTTACCAAGGCCCAGAGGTGAGTGGTATAAAACCTAATGTGGGACGGATTAAACCACATGTACCCCTCGTGATACTGCTACAACAAACTTATCTCACTGACATGTTTTAATGTGACATTGTAAAAGAATTAACACAAATTCAAAATTGATAGAAAACAGCTGGGGTCAACTTGTGCTATGTCACATGACTTCCACTGACTCCGAAAAAGCGTGCGGCTTTTTGCTTTGATGCAGGATATAAGGGATTTATTCTACTTCTCAGAAATTCATGTGCATTCGGTTTTTGCCCGGGCGGGGTATAAGAGATTTCTTTCCCCACTGAAAAATGTATTACCCTCCAAGGCGGGTTACACGGTATTTTATCCTGAGGACAATCACATCTCATCATTCTGACATGAAGGTATGATAAAGTATTTTATCAGATCTCATCATTCAGACATGGACATGTGATAAAGTATTTTATCAGATCTCATCATTCAGACATGAAGGTATGATAAAGTATTTTATCAGATCTCATCATTCAGACATGGACATGTGATAAAGTATTTTATCAGATCTCATCATTCAGACATGAAGGTATGATAAAGTATTTTATCAGATCTCATCATTCAGACATGAAGGTATGATAAAGTATTTTATCAGATCTCATCATTCAGACATGGACATGTGATAAAGTATTTTATCAGATCTCATCATTCAGACATGAAGGTATGATAAAGTATTTTATCAGATCTCATCATTCAGACATGAAGGTGTGATAAAGTATTTTATCAGATCTCATCATTCAGACATGGACATGTGATAAAGTATTTTATCAGATCTCATCATTCAGACATGGACGTGTGAAAAGTATTTTATCAGATCTCATCATTCAGGCATGGACGTGTGACAAAAGAAGATGTCAAAATACATGTTGGGGCTTGCACTGCCTCATTGGTACTGTCTGAAGCATGGAGGACGACCATGTGATGGATAGTTTCTTTTTACATTTATTGTACAACCGATCAAATAAGTCGCCACTTGTAACAAGCATATGTTGCCAGGTACCAATTCTAACTCTGAATGTCCTACATTTCTCAACAACTCTAAAAGTAAGGAAGAAATTCTGCTAAAAAGGTCAAATAACCGAGCAGCATACAAAATTCAAAATTGACAAATCAGTAATGTTTGTTTTTTATTGCTTAACGCCGCACTCAGCAATATTCCAGCTATATGAAGGCGGTCTGTAAATAATCAAGTCTGGACCAGACAAACCAGTGATGGACATTGTGAGCACATCCTAGGGACATGATGACACACAATCAACCAAGTCACCACGCCTGACCACCTGATCCTCTTAGTTGACTCTTTCAGCCAGCATCGTCGCCTAAAGCAGTGATGGGATTGTTTTACCTTGTCTTCTCAAATTCCTTCAAGAAGGCGGGAGTTTCGTTGAACAGATCGTCGTCCGACTCCGGGACCGAGTCACTACCAGCTTCACATTCCGATGGATCATCTGGAACACAAACATAGCATTGGTTTCCTCTGCAGCCTATTTGAACGTTTATTTGCAGTTAATTCCCCAAACCAAACAAAACGTTCTTCCCCAAAAGAGTCAGAATGAATAAACCAGGTCAGAACGTTTACTATCTCCTTTGTATGTAATTAGCCCTGAACCCTCATCCCCTGTGTTGCTATCGTTTAAGTGTCACTTCAGGCCATGTTGCTCATCAGGATTGAATGAGTGAGTGACTGAGTATGGTTTTCGCCCCTTTAAGCAATATTTCAGCAATATCACGGCGGGGCACACTGGAAAAAGAGCTTCACACACTGTACCCATGAGGGGAATCGAACCCGGAGACAACACTTTAACCACCATGCTACCCCACTGCACCCTCATCAGGATAAACCATGCGTAGGATATGTGGTGTCTCCTCAGGCAAGCAACTTTGTTAGAAAAATGTCTGTTCAGCCAGCAGTGAATGGGTAACCGGTAGCATGAGATGGTTATGTGGCTGTTAACCAAAGCTTCACAGGCAGCTTGGGTTGTATACTCCCCAGGAAGCTGAGAATGAAAAATTGAATGCACACTGATCTATATGAAACATATCAACGCGAGTCCATAAAACTTATAACTCTAGAGGCTTGCCCAGGAACTTTAAACTTTTATCACTAAGTGTTGATACATTTGTCACCTGGGTGAGATTCTACTATACAGGGATTGAATAAATTTATCTACGGTACATAAAAATGTCAATAAAAAACTTACACGCTTGTTTATTCAATCATCAAATGTTGTCAATCAAAACAGTGATTGGCATACTTGCAACATTGCATGCTATCTCTTAATACTGTGCATAACCGATTCCTATATCACTGTATGGAGCTTTGCATCAGCTGACAAGGGTGGAGTGCGCATCATTTTTTTTCATCCCCGATTGGCAAACAAGTGTTTGTGTTTACAAACTAAACACTTTGGTAGCGCACAAAAATCTTATTCCATGATCTACAAATCCAAGTCATTAATCATATTTTTAAAAGACTTAAATCCTAGCAGAAATCAAAGACGTTGATCTACATGTATGTGCGTTTGTGCAGAAATCAAGAGAGAAAAAGGCAATCACGGGTAAAGTTTCAAAACACGAGCAAATTTCAATTTTGGAATGACAGCAAAACAAAAACTTAATGAATATACATACAACATACATTTCTCCATAATAATCTACAAATTGCAGATCAGAAACGATCGTAATTTAGATGAGATTCGCCTAGCCAGTGACGGCACCAGTGGAAGAGTTTTCATGAACGTACCCTCGTGCAAGAATGGCCACCGTGTGTGAATTACAAATTTTGAACTATTTCTAGTGTCCAAACAGCAAGTTGGATTTAATTTTATTAGAATATGCTACAATATGTTTGCTTCCAAATTTGTCCATAAAAATTGATAACTGTGACTTAATCATTCAAATGTAACTCTTAAACATCGTGAATGTCAACAGTTTTTTCAACTTCCGGGTTACTTGTAAACATTTTCTGGCTGCTGCACATGGCAAACATGCCGCCTTCTGTGAGAAATAAATGACTTAATTGTTGCTAATTAAACAAGAGGGTGAACCTGGAGCAATAGTCGTTGTATAATGAACTGTCACTTCTAATTTATTGAAAAGTGCACATTGATAAGATTTCATTTGATACGATCAGAGGCCTCTGATATGGTACACACTTCAGACGGAAATAAGACGGCGAAATTGACGAAAGCACTGGAATGAAAATAATATATTTTTTCCCAACAAACTGTAATACCATTTACGACAGTCGCTATTTCATGTCATCACTCTTAATATATTGAATTAAGATCTAAACACACATTGTCGTAATTTGATAACGTGATAACTAATTGCAGATTGTTGTCTCCTGCATGCCAATGACATGAACAGCTGATGGTGGTAAACATGCCTCCTAAACAATCTGTAATTGTCCTCGCGAATAATTCCCCATCAAGTCAACAATGAACAGAAATACATTAATATTAGTGTAATTTCTCCTAAAGTAGAACATAAATGTAAGTTGAATGTAATGTTAATACTAATGCTAATATTTTTAAATACATGTATTTGCAGTGGAATAATTAATGTTCGAAAATAGGATATATCTATATAATCTAGTAATATTACTTGCAAAATTATTTGAGTCACAAGTACCAAAAATCAAATACAGTTTCCCACTGTGTGAATATGAAATATCTCTGAAAATTAGCAAAATCTCATCACACGCCAAAAAATCTCATTGCTTTTGGACCAGGGGAGATTTTCTCTCATAGGTAAAAATTTCAAGGATAATCCCTGTACTAATCATTCAACATCAACGCTCCAACTTCTGCTTATTAATGGATAATTTTAATTTCATCCATCCAAACATATGAAACATTTCAAATTAATAACAGCAAAATTCCCAAACAATCCATATCAACCTTTAACACAAATCAACCACTGTCATGGCTCTTGCTTGCTTCTTAAATTTAAACCCTTAAAAATATAATTTAAAGTTAAAATCAGTGAAGGCAAACTTGTCAATGCACTGCCCTTGGAAGACCACAGGAAGAATGGCGCGTACAGGAAGCAACGTCTGCCATGAGTCCTGCCACATTGTTTGGTCTATACACTGTGAAGAGGTCCGTAGTCCATCTCTCCCAGTGCACAGTTAACCAACCTCTCAGACACATAAGCCCGCACACCCACTATTTATCCAATGACAGCCTGCTTGCTCCCGTGACAAAAGAACATGTAAATGAATGACTAGATATTGCTTTATGCAGCATCAGCAAGCTTGCAGCATTTAGAGAACATGTACATAGCTGGGTGTCAAATTTCTTATGTTCTGTGTCTATTTATGTTTAATTAATGTGGTACTGATGTGACCATCAACGTGCCAGCCGATTACGTGAGGTGAGGTGAAATGGGGATAAACGTCGCGTCCAAGATTATTGCAGTTATATGGCGACGTGCATGCACGTGTGTGGCTGCTTGTGCTAGTCCAGACTGGGCTAGCCCACTGAGATACCATGCCGTCATTTAACATGAATGCCCCACTCAGACACAGTACACTGACTCCAAGCCGATCAGTCCTTGTTTTAGCCCCTTAATGCCGAGCGCCAGACAGGGCAACAAGTACCATCTTTGAATGTCTTTTAGTATGACACGGCCGGGGATCGCACCCCCGGCCTTCTGCTCTCCAGGCGGACGCTCTACCACTAGACCACATAGGCGGTCCCCTGATAATGTAACAAAAGCATGTGTGACAGCCTCACATCTGTACATCTACGATGTTCTGTGATGTTCTTAGATGTTCTTAGATGTTCTATGATTATCTCAATGTTCTCTTGTGTGCTGTTTTGTGGGATTGTCTACAATGTTCTTTTGTGTGATATTCTCTATGATTGTCTACAATGTTCTCTTGTGTGCTGTTTTGTGGGATTGTCTACAATGTTCTCTTGTGTGATATTCTCTATGATTGTCTACAATGTTCTCTTGTGTGCTGTTTTGTGGGATTGTCTACAATGTTCTTTTGTGTGATATTCTCTATGATTGTCTACAATGTTCCCTTGTGTGCTGTTTTGTGGGATTGTCTACAATGTTCTCTTGTGTGCTGTTTTGTGGGATTGTCTACAATGTTCTTTTGTGTGATATTCTCTATGATTGTCTACAATGTTCCCTTGTGTGCTGTTTTGGGATTGTCTACAATGTTCTCTTGTGTGCTGTTTTGGGATTGTCTACAATGTTCTTTTGTGTGAAGTTCTCTATGATTGTCTACAATGTTCTCTTGTGTTCTGGGGTGTTATGTGACGTTTTATGATTGTTTGTGTTGTTTTATGATTGTATGTGATGTTTTATTATGCTACGTCATGTTCTGATGTTCAGTGATGTTCTATGATGTTCAGTGGCTTATTTGTCTGATAACAGATGCCTTAGCACCAGGGGTCCGGAAAATTTAAAATCCCAATCGGACATTTACATTTAGGCCACGCCCCCTTCAAATAGCGTATTTTAGTACGACTTTTCACACACATTACAAGTTTACATATTCATAATATGATGAATTATGAATTGTTTCAATTTAAATTGTTTAATTCACCGGACAATAAATAACAAATAATATCATTTTAGATAAAGATGGAAAACATACGTTTGTTTCTGTTATAATAACGATCTGTTAACGTAGTAAACGGTCTAATTAATATTCATGAGTTATATTCATGAGTCTGCTCAAGTGTACGCGTTGTAACATTTGGATCGAGACTATTATCCCATATTTGGTTATCACGTGACCTCACGGGAAAAGTTTTTTTTTAAACTAAAGATTTTTTAAAAACAAGACAGAGAATTTAATCACAAATACTAAAATATCATTGAGAGCAATAGTTATTTGAATACTTTTTTCATCTGTACTTAATTATTGACCATAAAAAAAATTGATATCGATCGTCCGAGAAAGCAAAATGGCGGTCAATCAAGATTCAATATACGACTAGCTACTGAAAAACAATAAAATCTGCAAATCTTCATTGTATGTCAACCAAGTGAAAGTCGTTAGCCACGACTTATAAAATGATCGTCTAGACTTTGAGGGTTTGGCAGATCCGCTCGACTGATCTGCATCGGTCGACTGGCTGTCGTCACGCTTTCGCTTCTTGTCTGAGGTTACGTATCGTAACATTGTGAGGATAATGATGTACATCGATGATGCAAGGTATTTATGTACAGTTGTAAACACCTTTCACGCAAATTAACAAGATGTTCTCAGTAATTAATCCTCGATTAATCAGTGTCAACTCAGTTTATTGCCTATTACAGTGATTGACCGATTGGACTATCATGTAGGTACGATGTATTTACAGCAATCAAAACAAACAAAGCTTGTCAGTGTAGATAATCTTCATTGTGTTACAACTGCAGACAGAAACTGCTCAGTCCTAACTGTTGATCATGTCCGGTCAAAATTTAAGAATGTCCGGACAATACTTTTTAAAATGTCCGGTAAGCAATATTTTAAACCGGACATTTGAGATTCCCAATCGGACATGTCCGGCGCATATGACGGTTTCTGGACCCCTGCTTAGCACATAGCTGGAATATTGCTCACTGGCATAAATCAATGTTCGTCCTCATTATCAAATATTTCTCACTGCTAACCACTGATTTTAATTTATCCTTCACATAACGTGACAAGTTTAATGGACACTTTAATTGCCTATTGTGAAAATCAAGAAATCAAGACACTTTCCTGTCAGGTTTCAGTTGCTAGGTTACAAGAGTTGCTGTATATATACTAGCTGCTATGGATGTTTATGTCACAGACTGAATTAACTTACATCAACTATCACTTTCCATTTCAGAAGAAAACAGCTTTAGCGTTATACCCCGCCATGGGGTAAATTAGAAGTTTGTTTGTTCATATAGTAGTGAACGTACACGGAGAAAGGGAGGGTTACACCACATCAAAAACATTACTGCATCAATTATTAACTTAGTCTTGACAAATTCACTTCAACTTTTTATGAATAACCTTATTCTAATCACTGAAAAAAAAAACACTGCGAGGAAGTGGCCTGGTTTACATGCCACTTGCAAATTGTGGTTTGTGGGTTTTTTTCACCATTCACCATATACCTTGTACAAGTTCCCTTGTCAAGTGTTATACATCTCACTTAGGTCATTATAGCAACAGTTCTCAGAAAATCCAAAATTATTGCCAAAGAAACACTTTTACTACTTTTTTAGACATACCAAAAGATCAAAAGACAGCAATGCACCATGTGTTTGATACACATTCAATGTTTCATAATAAAATACAAAATGGTTTCCAAGTCATGCTCTGGAAACAAAACCTGACTGACACACAGACAGAAAGACGGATGGTTGGTTGGTTGGTTGGATTGTTGTTTAACGCTGCACTCAGCAATATTCCAGCTATATGACGGCGGTCTGTAAATAATTGAGTCTGGACCAGACAATCCAGTGATTAATGTCATGAGCATCGATCCACGCAATTGGGATCGATGACATGCATCAACCAAGTCAGCGAGTCTGACCTCCCGATCCCGTTAGTCGCCTTTTACGACAAGCATAGTCACCTTTTACGGCAAGCATGGGTGGCTGAAGACCTATTCTACCCCGGAATCTTCACGGGTCCAGAAAGACGGATGACAGTACCCATTCCTGTATCAACCCTCCCACTTCATGGCGAGATTAGTCGAGGAGATGGTCAGGGGGTGCTTATTAATATGGTGAATACAAATACCCCTCCATATTGTCTGATGTACACATTAAAGCATTTTCTGATTGGATACTTGTGTTTCTTCAAGCAAGGTGTATGTTGGATCAGGACAAAGGACCAGTAAATGATTATCAAACGTAAAAGAGAACAAAATAATTGACCGTTACCAAATTTTTGGGTTGGAGTTGGCCATACTTGGAGTTCCCTCATCATCCAAACCTCCCACATTCAGCTAGTTCATATTCTCTTGAATTATTTGGTTACTTGAAGAACGAAAATATGAAAATCTATCTTTTCTTGACCAAGATTGGTTGAAAAGACTCCCAAGAAATCTACATCCCAGAAGCCATCACATGTGTCCAAATGATTACTACACACAAACATGGTAGGATATGAATACTGATGGGTGAAATGGACGGATACGGAGGGCCAGTTTGTATTTAAAACTATTGCTGGTTTTATAATGCCAGAAGTCTTTACTTTGAGGGCAACCAGAAAGGATAAAACAGACCAATTTTGCACATACAAGCTTAAAGAAATAAAAGAATTGGTTCTCAGGCAATGGCTTTTGAAAACATAGTGCAGGCTAGCAGTGTTTTTGTTTTTTTGTTGTTATTATTCAAACAAGTATGTAACCAAATAAACAGTTGTGTTCAATCAACCTGGAAAAGGGCCTCCAGACATAAATGTACTCCTTGATAAGTAAATTACTGGAATGCAGTATTTGACTACTGTTGGACTACCAATGTGTGCATTATAAACGCATGCAATGGGCTTTGAATTTATTTCACAATGCAAAGACATTATTTTTTCTTTTTAAATGGAATTAAACACGAAATGTGTGGCGGACTTTATGATGATGTGGGCAGTGCCTGAGAACCAAGACAATTATATTTTTTAGGCCACATATTCATGTTTTTGTATTGTATTACTGATGAGGTTACTACTCCTTTTGAAATGCAACTGCCAAATATGACAGGTATAATCACGTTTGATGTTAATAGAATATAAGAACAATGTTTCATTTGCCCTCTATCACCAGACAGCCATCATGGCAACACACGAAAACAGCAGCAAGAACAAACAGGTCAACTTACCATCATCCTTCTTCTTTGGAGCTTCTGTTTTCTCCTCTCTGACCTCTTTCGCAGACGTCTCTGACATCGCTGAGCTCAGCTTAGGAATCCTGTAAGACCCCAAAGGGTTGCACATGTCTGACGCCCGCCGTGCTGGAGTATGGGTAGGTCTGCATGGACCTGACGACTCTGACACAGCACTTGATGTTGATGAGACAGATGGTTTGGCTTTAAACAGTGGAGACTTGGTCAGATTGGATTTAAATTTAGACAACTTTGAGGTGTCTAATACCATTTTAGATTTCAATGGTGTCCGTACAGCTTCAGGGGTGTCGACGTCCATGGCTTCAGGAAGTTCATATGAACCTTCACTGGTCCAGTCAATAGTTCTTGTTCGATCCCCATCTTTGTGGCTCGGGGAGGCATCGTGTGACAGAAACCTCTTGATATCTGCTTTCGGGTTTTTCATTGTTTTCCCAAAACATGGTGAGCTTTTAAATTTATGCTTATCCCTGCCATCACCCTTTGTCCCTGAGTCATTGCGGTGTCTATCTCCGTCAGAAGACCTGGGACTAGAAGTGTGTGACTTAGAGTTCGGACTACTGTGATGGCGCTTCTTCTCTCCACCATGCTTCTTCTTCCTAGGTTTTGTGGACCACCATTGGTCAGTCTCTGGTTCCAGCTGCTGTTGATGTGATGACTTCTTCACCCAATCGCTTACATCTCTAAGACTCATCCCGCGCACCTTTTCCGAAAACAAGGAATCTCTGCTTTCTGATCCTGACGGAATCAGTTTTGAGGCTGATCCTTGAACGTTTGGGTCACTCCACGCAGATGGGGAGGCAGCTACGGACACTGGCGATCTGTCCACATGATTGGGTGATGATCCTTCACCAACGGCAACCTTGAGGTCTGGATCTCTGCTGTCACTTGCTCTCAAAGGTTTTATTGGCCCCGACTCCTTGGGACTGGCAATTGGGCCTTTCCTGAGATCATCACTCTCATCGTTCTCAATTTTCTGCAACTCTTTTGTACCAACAAGCACCTTAGTACTTAAATCACTGCAAACTGAACTTCCTCCAACCTGACCCTCCCTGTCTGGTCCCGAGGAGGGACCCTGCTCCTTGGTATTCCCAAACAACCCCTTGTCCACTAAATCTGACTGACCCCAATTGACACCCGTATCACCTGTCAGCTGAGGTTTCAAAGACGGACCTGAGACCTGGGTCAAAGAAGTGGAGTCTTTTGTCCTGAAATCTTCATCCTGAGCAACCTCTCTGACCTGACTCTCATCTGTGGGCACAGAACATCTCCCTGTCACCCCACCACCATGACACCTTTCCTCAGACTTAGCAACATCCTCAGAGTGTCTGCTTCCTTCATCTCTGGAACCTCCAGCAATGTTCCCAGATTGTCCAACGGGCGTGCCTACAGACAAGGATCTGGACAGCGTCGGTCTGTGACCTGCATCTTTTCCATCGCTTGTATATTGCGCAGCGTCATCTTCATCAGGAGGAACACCCCAATAACCACCATCTGTCAAATCTTCAAAGCTCTGAGGTCTGTTTCGGACTGCCTCAGAAGGTCTGTTGCAGTACTGACTGTGATCCTCGTTCTCACTGACCCTCCGTCCCGGTGAGCTCACTATTCCTACAAGAGCAACTATGAATAAGAACAACGTAACAACATAAAATATTTCATACGACTGCCAAACTCAAACAGAATAAAGGACAATAAGACACTAAGATCTTATCGATTAATTTTGCTTATGCAGACAATGAATTATTAATGTTACACCTTGTGCAAAAATGTGAACAGTCAAGCAACACATCAGTGACAGAATGTCTATGGCAGGGACAACTGTTACTCCATAACATGCAGGACAACACACACACCGTCGACATCCCACACAAAGAATCAATACTTCTCCACATATAGATTGCCAAGGTAAGAACTTCCACTTATACAAGTAAATGTTGTATAACACAGGAGACAGAAATATTCAAGCACTATCCATGTAGTCTGTAAATATCTGAACCAAACAACCAGTGATTGAAAGTATGAGCGCTGATCCATGCCAACCTGGACATGATGCCAGTGAGACCACCTGACACTGTATATAGCTAGCTATTACACAAGCATGGGTAACTGGGGACTCACCTGCATCCCCACAGGGAGACGAGACAAGCACTGGTAATTAGGGACCTATTCTCACTCGGAATCCCAACATGGAGACAAGCATGGGCCACTCAGCTCCCACTACACATAGTGGACCACTGGCCCCCAGTACTACAGTATTACACATGGTGGACCACTGGCTCACAATACTACAGTACTACACATGGTGGACCACTGGCCCCCAGTACTACACATGGTGGACCACTGGCTCACAATACTACAGTACTACACATGGTGGACCACTGGCCCCCAGTACTACAGTATTACACATGGTGGACCACTGGCTCACAATACTACAGTACTACACATAGTGGACCACTGGCCCCCAGTACTACAGTATTACACATGGTGGACCACTGGCTCACAATACTACAGTATTACACATAGTGGACCACTGGCCCCCAGTACTACAGTATTACACATGGTGGACCACTGGCTCACAATACTACAGTACTACACATGGTGGACCACTGGCCCCCAGTACTACACATGGTGGACCACTGGCTCACAATACTACAGTACTACACATAATGGACCACTGGCCCCCAGTACTACAGTATTACACATGGTGGACCACTGGCTCACAATACTACAGTACTACACATGGTGGACCACTGGCCCCCAGTACTTCACATGGTGGACCACTGGCTCACAATACTACAGTACTACACATGGTGGACCACTGGCTCACAATACTACAGTACTACACATAGTGGACCACGGGCCCCAAGTACTACAGTATTACACATGGTGGACCACTGGCTCACAATACTACAGTACTACACATGGTGGACCACTAGCTCACAATACTGCAGTATTACACATGGTGGACCACTGGCCCCCAGTACTACAGTATTACACATGGTGGACCACGGGCTCACAATACTACAGTACTACACATGGTGGACCACTGGCTCACAATACTACAGTACTACACATAGTGGACCACTGGCCCCCAGTACTACAGTATTACACATGGTGGACCACTGGCTAAAAATACTACAGTACTACACATGGTGGACCACTGGCCCCCAGTACTTCACATGGTGGACCACTGGCTCACAATACTACAGTACTACACATGGTGGACCACTGGCTCACAATACTACAGTACTACACATAGTGGACCACGGGCCCCAAGTACTACAGTATTACACATGGTGGACCACTGGCTCACAATACTACAGTACTACACATGGTGGACCATTGGCTCCCAGTACTACACATGGTGGACCACTGGCTCACAATACTACAGTACTACACATGGTGGGCCACTGGCTCCCAGTACTACAGTACTATACATGGTGGAACACTGACTACCAGTACTACAGCTTCTACACATAGTGGACCACTGGCTCCCAGTACTACACATGGTGGACCACTGACTCCTAGTGCTACAGAACTACACATAGTGGACCACTGGCTCCCAGTAGTACAGTATTACACATGGTGGGCCACTGGCTCCCAGTACTACAGTACACATAGTGGACCACTGGCTCCCAGTACCATACATAGTGGACCACTGGCTCCCAGTACTGCAGTACTACACATAGTTGACCACTGGCTCCCAATACAACAGTATTACACATAGTGGACCACTGACTCCCAGTACTACACATGGTGGACCACTGGCTCCCAGTACGACAGTACTACACATGGTGGACCACTGGCTCCCAGTACTACACATAGTGGACCACTTGCTCCCAGTACTACTCATAGTGGACCACTGGCTCCCAGTACTACAGTACACATAGTGGACCACTGGCTACCAGTACTACAGTACTACACATAGTGGACCACTGGCTCCCAGTACTACAGTACACATAGTGGACCACTGGCTCCCAGTACCATACATAGTGGACCACTGTCTCCCAGTACTACAGTACTACACATAGTGGACCACTGGCTCCCAATACAACAGTATTACACATAGTGGACCACTGACTCCCAGTACTACAGTACACATAGTGGACCACTGGCTCCCAGTACTACAGTACTACACATGGTGGACCACTGACTCCCAGTACTACAGTATTACACATGATGGACCAATGGCTCCCAATACAACAGTATTACACATAGTGGACCACTGACTCCCAGTACTACACATAGTGGACCACTGGCTCCCAGTACTACACATAGTGGACCACTCCCTCCCAGTACTACACATAGTGGACCACTGACTCCCAGTACTACAGTACTACACATGGTGGACCACTGACTCCCAGTACTACAGTATTACACATGATGGACCAATGGCTCCCAATACAACAGTATTACACATAGTGGACCACTGACTCCCAGTACTACACAAAGTGGACCACTGGCTCCCAGTACTACACATAGTGGACCACTGGCTCCCAGTACTACACATAGTGGACCACTGACTCCCAGTACTACAGTACTACACATGGTGGACCACTGACTCCCGGTAGTACACATAGTGGACCACTGGCTCCCAGTGCTACAGTACACATAGTGGACCACTGGCTCCCAGTACTACACATAGTGGACCACTGGCTCCCAGTACTACAGTACTACACATGGTGGACCACTGGCTCCCAGTACTACAATTCTACACATGGTGGACCACTGGGTCTCAGTACTACACATGGTGGACCACTGGCTCCAAGTACTACAGTACTACACATGGTGGACCACTGACTCCCAGTACTACAGTACTACACATGGTGGACCACTGGCTCACAATACTACAGTACTACACATGGTGGACCACTGGCTCACAATACTACAGTACTACACATGGTGGACCACTGGCTCCCAGTACTATAGTACTACACATGGTGGACCACTGGCTCCCAGTACTACAGTACTACACATGGTGGACCACTGACTCCCAGTACTACAGTACTACACATGGTGGACTACTGGCTCCCAGTACTACACATAGTGAACCACTGGCTCCCAGTACTACAGTACTACACATAGTGGACTACTGGCTCCCAGTACTACACATAGTGGACCACTGGCTCCCAGTACTACAGTACTACACATGGTGGACTACTGGCTCCCAGTACTACACATAGTGGACCACTGGCTCCCGGTACTACACATAGTGGACCACTGGCTCCCAGTACTACAGTACTACACATGGTGGACCACTGGCTCCCAGTACTACACATGGTGGACCACTGGCTCACGGTTCTACAGTACTACACATGGTGGACCACTGACTCCCAGTACTACACATAGTGGACGACTGGCTCCCAGTACTACACATAGAGGACCACTGGCTCCCAGTACTACAGTACTACACATGGTGGACCACTGGCTCCCAGTACTACAGTACTACACATAGTGGACCACTGGCTCCCAGTACTACAGTACTACACATGGTGGACCACTGGCTCCCAGTACTACAGTTCTTAATCACCATAAAGCATGACCAAGCTCTACAGAAAAAAATTATATTCCAATGGCAGTCGACAAGACATCACATTACATGAGTCGCACCAAATGTAAAGCGGTGCAATCTGATTAAAATCTGACCTAAATGCTCTCTACCGTCACACAAAGTTTCATGTGGAGGTAGTGGGCACTGAGGGGAGTGGGTAAGTGAGCGAGCGTGACTTTACACCTCTTTTAGAAATATTCCAGCAAAAGCACAGTGGGAGACACCAGAAATGGGATTCACACATTGTACGCATGTGGGGAATCGAACCCGGGTCTTCAGCGTGAAGAGTGAACACTTTAACCACTGGGCTACCCGCCACCCTGATTGTAATAAGACTGTAAAGCTGTGTTGAAGTTCATCAGGGTAAAAAGTATTGTTACATTTTCTCCATATATTCTAGGATCCACAACACTATTTTGCAACATATATTTACCAAAAATTGTCAGTTTTGTGAAAGTAGTGCTTCCTCCATATAAAGATGCTCTTTAGGGGTCTTCAGCAACATTGTGTTCTAATTTGATACCACTGGCAAACAAATCTAGAACGTCACGCTAAGCATCTGTATTTCAGTGAACTAGTGAGTGTTCATAAGAATTGACTTAATTATGTTTAAACGCTTATGAAATCTTATAACACAGTGCACACACTTTGCATAAATCAGCATAGCAGAAAGCACACAGTATTTACGTCAATACCTGCATAAATGCAAAAAATATCGAAGTCAATTCTTAAATAACTAACAGCGTTAGAAATTGGCACTAGTCCTGTAGTCCTTGCCAAACTGCCCAATGGTTAAGGTATCATAAGGACTTGTAGAAATTGGCACTTGTCCTGTAGTCCTTGCCAAACTGTCCAATGGTTAAGGTATCATAAGGACTTGTAGAAATTTGCCCTTTATAAGGGTTTTACTACTTGTTTTCATTATAAGGACAAGTGGACTAGTTAGTTTCTACCCCTGACTACGAGAATGTGATGGCTTAGTCAATGTGACCTGTAACTCACTGATATAGAAACAATTGAAGAGGCCTAAAGATTAACTCGACGTTATGCAGAGAAG